ACTTTGGCTACGGGGGCCTGACTCTTACGGGGGCCTGACTTTTACCACTTTTGATTCGTCCAAAACTTTCGTGGCCCACTGGTACTTCCTTTCGAAGGCGGTGAACCAAGCTTCACTAACAGCACCTAATCCCCACAACCTTGTCACTTCCAGGGCGATTGGGCACGATCGCGGGCTGTCAGCTATCACGACTTCAAGATGGGGCAAGTCGTTGCTTTTTACAATGCCGCGACGCGGCATTGTATCATCAAAGACTCCTGGTCTTAAGTTTGTATCAGACATGGTTTACCTGTTACAGCTTCGCCGAAGCGGCGAAGCTGCTCACAAGATAAATAGCTGCGTTCATTCTTTTCTTTCATTTGTTCTTCAGATAATTCTCATTCAATTCACCGAAGGCACCTTTGCCACAACGCTTCCCATCTCTAGTCCAACTGCTACCACTTCATTCTCCGTTCACGTGATGTGTGCCCGTAACTGTTTGACACGGGCGGCGCAATTTAGCTCACGTTCCACATCACTAACAGTCACAAAACCTGATAAAAGGAGTGATACCGTTACGAGATAATACTAATCAATGGACCAAGTTGATTTTGTTGCCTCACAACAATGCAACCTGCACCCTCGTCATCACCCTTAGCCAATTCCCATTGACTCCTAGTCCTGCGAATACTTGGTTGCGTCCTCCGGCCACTGTAGCGCACACCTGCTGTCTTCCCACTTCCAAGAACTTTAGAAAGTCTACCTGCATGTTGCCGAGTCGAGGTGCCACTTTGGCTATTAGTTTGTGTGATACTTTCTTGAGACGCCCTTTGCGCTCTCTTAGCCAGGGTTGACTTTTTGAGACTCCCTTTTGGCCGGCCTCGCCTTCGCCCGCTTAATTGACTCGCAGATTGACTACTTTCTGTAATAGGTAGACATGTTGGAACAGCCTGCGCAGTGTTCTTTGGTCGTCCACGTAATGATGTAGCAATTTTTGGGTCAAGGATTCGTCGGTATGGATCTTGTGATACGGATTCTCGTAATCGCCAACGTGGGTGGACCTCCCATTTTGTAAAAGGTGTTGCAGAATCTAGCTTTGCGTAGATTTTATGATAGCAAGGGATTCCAAGTTCGATCGAAACCGTACAGTCGTCGTCGCAAGGTCCAATTGAATCTGGAAAGGGATTCTTACCAGTCGGCAGAAACTTGCGAGCAATACAGTATTGCTTATTGATTAGCCCAAGTCCTTTCGACGACATAGTTGTTCGCAGTTCGCCAAGGTAGTTTCCAATCGAACCTAGGTATTGGGGAGCAGTGAGGATGTCATCCTGGCCACAGGCATCTGTAAAGGCACGTTCTTGGTCATGTATCATATCCTGCATTGCCTCGATGAGTCGGTAGAGGTGACTCATGCCGTTCAAAAGATAACTTTTGACATTATTATTGCTTGCTTCTGTGCCAGACGTAACACGGATACCAAAGTTACGATAATGACGGATAAAGCAGCGGGCCCATTGGGCACTAACAGGCAGATAGGTCGAATAGAGGTATCGTAGAATGGCTCGTTGGTCATCGAACTCTTTACAAAGATCTCTCCATGCCTGCTCAAAGGCTTCCTCTGTCTCAGCATAGAGAACCTTTTTCCACATTAAAACAACACCTTGGTAGGTATGAGGAATCTTATTGCGAGTTGAAGAGTCTGCGATCAGATGTTTATCTGTAGCGCTGAGCCCAACCTCCGCCTGGAGGGGAACATCTCCGTTTTCACTTGCGCTAGGACTAGTACTCTCCTCACGTTCACCGGTCCACTTATTCTTCGATTTAAGCAAGACGTTTGAAAGGATATGATGAATGCAAAGCTGTTGCTGTGTATTTGGGAACTGATCATTAAGAGCAGATTTCATTGCCTTGTCGAAGTCTGTGATAATAACATCAGGCTGCCGAATCGAGTGTTTGGTAATAAGTTCGTGAATGCTCTCCGCAAGGAATTGGAATCCCTCTCTTCTCTCGTTATCTATTAAACCGAATGCGGCATTGAATACTGTCCCAAGACAGGTTTGGCCTGTAGCTTGAAACAAAGGAAGCTTGAAGCGATTGGTGTTATATGTGTTGTCAAAGCTAACAACCTCGGGGAAGCGCTTCCACATCTGTAAACAATAAGGAAAGGTCCATACAAGGCCAAGTAGTCTATCTGGCTCATCCACAGCCCACTTCGCGATATATGGGATCTTCTTCTCATCAAAAAGTTTGATCAATGCAGCGGTAGATGTATAGCCATTAAGCTTCTCTCGGTTAATGAACGAACGGGCATTATAGATATCCTTCCGCAGGAGTGTAGCATCAGGAAATTGCTCTTCAACGATAGCAGCTACATCGCTAGCCCGAATACCTGCCCGACGGCTGACTGACTCGATAGTTGCTTTAACTGGTGCGGTAAGGCGTCGATGAGAAGGATGCGCAGATGGGGTAATGCTCGGTTCATGGTTATGCTGGTGATGTTTTGGATCCTTATGTTGTCGAAGAAGCCAGAATCCTTCCTTTGCAGACTCAGCAGTTATTTTCCATTCACATCCGCACTTCCGAGATTTTCGATTTCGAAGACCAGTGCCTCTTGGGGCCCGAGGTTGGCCGAACCGGTCACATTGAAAAGAATATCTGATTACCCGTCCTTTATAAGAGTATTGATTCCGCCGAACAATCCCAAATCCGTTCTCCTTCGCAAATGTATTCACAGTATCAAAAAGAGCTTTGGCCGAGGGAGCTGGGTTGCCTGGGATTATTGGGTTCGGGATTGGCTCCGGAACGGGGGACTGAGATTGTCGAATGGGCGGTAGAATGATATTCTCGGGCAACGGTAAAGATTGGGATGATCGTGGTGGGGACGTACGGGCTGGAGAATATGGTGGAGGAGAGTCGTATGCTTCTGAGCTTAATGGGGACCATCCCCATCTTTCTCTCCAAGCTCGTACCCGTTCGTATGGTCGAGCGAGATCTATGGTTAACCTTCGGCCTTCGCCTATGACCTCCCGTACTATACTCATTGCGGATTCGAACTCGGCTTTTGTTCTTGTTGGCGGTAACTGGGCGGATGGAGGTGATCCAGGAGATTCAGAGGCGAATGGATCAAGCTCTGGCCCTGGTATAAGCGCAATGACTCGCTGGCTTCGTCTTTGTTCACGGAAGAAGTCATTTTGGAGATGGATCTCATAATCAGAACGAAGCTCCCATGCAGGCTCATGGAGACCTTGTGAGCCATGAGGATTTGGAATGCTCGAAAACGTCTGCGGAAACGACGCGAACAGGTTATCAAGGGCATTGTCGTCCCCAAGTCCATAGAACCGACTAATGCTTGTACTAGAACTCGTGGATAGTGAAGGGCTAGATCTAGCTTGCTGACCGGGTCGTTGTCGTTTTTGTCGGCGCAGTTGATCACTTGGACTGTGACTTCGCTCTCGGCAAAGCTTCGCGCGAGTAGAATGCTTAGATGCAGACATAAATATTATCATAAGGCGTTCTGATGCTTGCAGGTCTTGGGGAATAAAGTGTAACGCGTTTGCATGACTACCTATATACTACGGTCGGATAAGGGCTTTTGACTTGTGTAACCCTAGGGCTACGGAAAAAGCAAAGAAGCCCCCGTCCCTAGACTGAGGTTTCGATGATTATAAAAGAAAGGCGTTTTGTCTTGTAAGGCGAAAAAAAAGGAGAGAGAAGCTATCGCAGATCGAAGAATACACTAGCAGTTTTCAGACTACAGAATGCTGGTATCTCGTGTACTGTAGTAATAGAGCATTCATAACCATAAAAAGCGAGAACTACCGATACTTGTTGCACACCCAATCTCCTCAGATTGGGTACAGCTGCCTGGCCGGCAGCTGCTACTGAGAAATAGGCAAAGCCTTCTCGAGCGTTCGGTGTGGCTCCTCAGATAATTCTCATTCAATTCAGTTGTTGCCTTAAGTGCAGTTAAACTCGATCAATTGTGAAGTTGTGAACCCACTCAGTTCTACACGCACAAAAACGGTAAGTCTACGGAAAAAAGGCTGGGTACTTGGGGTGAAGGCGGCAGAATCCACGGTGGTTAACAGGAACACTTGGGACGAATCAAAAGCGGTAAAAGTCAGGCCCCCGTAGCCAAAGTGTCAGGCCCCCGTAGCAATTCCCATCTCAAAACGCGACAGGTTCTACCATAATGGCTTCTGAGAGCAATATCTTGGCACCATAGAACTTGATCGGTATAAGACTCCCCACACCCTCCACTTGACCAGTGTGTCCATCAACCAAGTAAACCAAAATATGGCTTCCTTACTTGACTTGGTTGACTGAAGCTTTTGCTTTACTTGGTTGGTCACAAAAAGTCCTTACTTGGTTGACATTACTTGGCGGCTATTCCCAAATAGGCAATTCTACGATAACATACAAGTCCTAAGCAAATGTTTTTGGCACTCAATCGCTGCAACAATATCCGATTGGAGACGGTTCCGTTCATCAGTGACGACCTTTTTTGCCTGTGAGAATACCCGCTCACACTCAGCGCTCATCGCTGGACAACTGAACAAATCAAATGCCATTTTAGACAGGATCGGGTAGTCAGCCGCATGAGCAACCCACCACTCTAACGGATCCTCAACTTCCACATCAGCCCTGTTAGCCCGAGCCATAAACTCATCAAGCTCAGACGTGAGCTTAATGCGCTTGGCTCCTAGTGAGCCCGACGCCACAGTGGCAGCAAGTCGCTGACGACGCTTACGGGCTTGCTGGAGAGGGTCCAACGCTACATCATCGTCGGCAATCACCTCTTCCTGAGGTTGCGCTCCAACCACGTCTCTCTTTGCGGCCTCTTCCTCGTATTGGGCGTACACCTCGCGTACCACTCGCTTTGCTTCACTGATCCACTTCTTGTTGTGACTCCATTCCAACTCGAAGTACGCAAATTTATTTGCAGGATGTAGGGCAACTGCACAGCGATACGCCGGCGTAGCATCTGTCAGGCCGAAATACTCTTCAAGCTTGATGCGAGCAGCGTCAATGGCATATGAATAGTATGTTGATACGACTTGTGGATGATTATCTGCAAATTTTCCTGCCTCTTGAAGCTCCTTGAAGAGGACATCCAGCGACTCGATTGTTTCGTGTAGGGAGCCATGTGATCCCTCAAGGCCTGCTTTATTTGCTCGGCCTTCCATGCGTTTTGTTAAGTCTTTGAACGGTTTCAAAATATCGAGGAAGTGTTTCAAATCAATCCAATCCTGCGGAGTAAGCATATCCTGAGAGATATCATATTCCTTGCCTGTATGGTTATAGTTGAGGAAGAAGAGATCGATGGCGTGGCGAAGTTTGAGAGCTCTTTCAATCATCGTATACGCAGAGTTCCAGCGGATACCACCGTCAACTAGCACTCTAGTATAGAGGGTTTTGATGCTGCCTTCTTCGTACAGTCTGGTCTGGGGGGTCAGACCAGACCAGACAAAGCCACTTTGGTCGGACCGGTTGGTCGGACCGGTCCGACCAACTAGACCGCCAAGAATGAGGTTGAAGCATGATAAAGAGGAAAGAAAAGTAGTCATTTATGCTATCAAATGATGCCGTTATCGTCATTCTTACTATCCTCGCTATCACTATCGCCCTCGACGTCGGGTTTTCCGTACCAGGCTCGTAGACACTCACATGCCTCGATTATATCAGCCTTCAACCTGCCACGGCGATCAACTACAGTAAGCTTAGCGCTACTAAAAAGACGTTCGCACTCATCCGACATGGGTGAGATGGCGAACAGGTCTAGAGCAAAGCGAGCAAGATCTCTCTGGGAGTCATAGCGGGATAGCCAGTACGCAATAGCTTCATCGCAACCGGCCTCATCGTCATGGAGTCGGTCGGTAGAAATGTATTGTTCATACGGATCGGCCGCAGAGACTGGGGCGTCTATTCGAATACGTTTATGTTCCCTTTGACGATCAAATGCCGGATCCGGGTCCCTCTCCTTCCGACCTGATGGTGGGAGCATCTCAAGACGGTACCTTCCCTTATACTCCGTCTCCCAGAGTTCTTTCACGGCCGATTGCGCGTTATCAAAGCACCCCTGCTTTTCCTTGTCGCCTGAAAGAACCCACTCCTGTCTAAACCATGCCCATTTTCGATATGGGTCGAGGATTTGAGCTGCATAGTATGCTGGCGGAAGGTCAGTATCGTCGGGAAATCGATTTTGCCAGTTCAGTTGCTGGTTGTTGTAGTACTCGGCGCATTTCGACCAGGCGGCATCTGCGCATCCTTGAGGATACGTCCACGTGAAGTTATTGTCATCCTCGGTGTGGATGTCATGATAGTGATCCTTCGTCTCGTTTATCTCTCGAAGAAGGCAGTCCAGGGTCGAAAACCAGTCAGCAAGGGACGTCTTCCTCCCTTCGGAAAGTAAAGTTGCGACGTAGAAGTCTTTTAGAGCGAGTTCAATCTTTTCAATCTAGCTTGAAGTTCGCAATCCCTTGAGAGCCTTTTGCAGGTACATGGCGAGCGGAGAAGAGCTCCAAGCGTTCCCGAACACTCAATGCACGCGTAATTGAATAAAACCATGAATTCCAACGTGTCGAATTATTCTGGATCAGCTCAAGTCCATCAAATGCAGAGAGATCGCCACCGACCACTATTGTAGCAAACTCCTCACGACGCTGAGGCGTAAGCCGTATGTATCGCACTAGGTTGTGAAGCCGACCCAAACATCCAAATTTCTTCCAGAGCTCCTCTACCTTTGCATAGTCTCCGCGTAAATGGTGCTTTTCCAGCTTTGCCAGGTATTTCTCGCAGTTCCGGCCCAAGGTTGATTATATGGCCCAAGCAGCGAAGCCGGCGATGACGACGCTGTTTCGCATCCATCCACGGGCAGAGCTCCTTGAGTATGAGGTCAACAGCGGTGTCGTTTGACGAGGCATTATCTAGCATGAAGTATCCAATTGAGTCTCCGCCGATGTTGTATTCTTTTAGCAATTCAAGAACAATTGATCCAACATTCTCGCCAGTGTGTTCACCGTAGACGCGGCGCATGCCCAAAACGGTGGATCTTCGCTTGCCGGCAGCATCAATCCACATGGCGACGACGCCTAGAATAGCGTACGGGTTTGGCGAAGTCCAAAGATCAAATGATATCGATATTCTACTCTTCGAATGTTGTAGATCCTCCCTGAGCTGCTCCTTCTTCGACATGAAGGCAGTCATCACCCAGCTTCGAATGGTTCTCGCTGCCTTCGGGAGGTGGTTCATCAGTGCTGGATTCAGAAAGAAGAGAAGTTCACGAAAATACTGATTTTCCAACTGAAAGAAAGCAATGTGGCAGTATACAATCCAGCGGATCAGAAGCTCTTTGAACTTCTCAATCGAGTCCTTCCAGAAGAAGGCACTGGAAGCAGCCGCATCCTTCTGTAGACCAAGTACCGACTTCTGCGGAGAGTTTTTCCTCCTGATACCCGTCTGGGAATCAATCCGATGTTTCTGCTCAAGATGGTTTCTGACTCTAGAGGTACCATTGATAACAAACAATTCTTGCTTGTACTTTCCAACCACACATTCGTGACAGTAATACACTTCTTTCTTATCACTACCTCGAATGTATTGGAGACCGTACTTCCAAATGTGTGATGACCCCGGGCGACATCCTTTATTTGCGACTATTACGCGTTTCACGTAAGTAATACGGTCCTGCACAAACTCATCTGGAGGTTCGGGATATTGGACCGGGGCAGAAAACGTGGTGGGGGAACGCGATGGCGTT